CAGTGCTTCGCGAGGATGCATAGCAGTAATGCGTTGTGATGTCGTGACACATTGCGACGGTGCTTAGCGGCGACACGTTGCTGCGTTGCGATGCATTTTGATGGTGCGTCGAGGCGACGCGTTGCAGCGCAGCGACGTGTTGTGGCAATGTGTCTCGACGACGTGCTGGCGATATATCATAGTGGCACGATGCGTTGGATGTCCAATGTCATGAAAGAAGGTAAGGGTGGAGTCATCAGCTGATTTAGGATTTCTCAAAAGAAAATCATTCTGCGCAGCGGTGAAGAGTTGTAGTGCAGAGTTGCGGCAAAGAGTTGTGGTGTCAAGTTGCGGTGACGAGTTACGATGTAGAGTTGTGGTACCGAACTACGGTGCAAAGTTGCGATGTCCAATTGCGGCGCAGAGTTGTAGTGCACTTTACCAAAAAAATTAAAAATAATAAAAAAAATGATTATTGTTGGTCATCTACGTATACTGCTGACGTAGATCTTACAAAAAAAATTAACATTTACATTGAAACCTCTAAATTTTATGTATTTACAAATCTAACTTTTAAACTTTAATTATTACATTCATACTACCCCAATCTTTCACCTTACTACCATTTTAATTTCAAAAGGTGAAATACACCTTTTCATGCACGTGAAGATGACATGTACTTAAATTTGAAGTTTATAGTGGGTTTAGCACTACATTGGAAAGTTCCTTTTTGCCCCTACCAGAATGGGCATTTGTATTTTTGATATTTTGTCCTGGATTACCTTTTCTCTATTTTTTTAATATGTGCCCAACTTGGATATTTTGTCCTGGATTACCTTTTCTCTATTTTTTTTAATATGTGCCCAACTCGGTCAGCTTGGCTCGGCCCAAGGGCATCCTGAAATGATTGGCTCTAACTCGGGATATTCCGCCTGAAGACACTTGTGTCGAGATCCTTTAATTTGGGTCGACTCGAGTCTCGGCTCGGTAGATTGGCTGGGTCATCTCGTAATCTTTGTTGGTTCTTTGTGGATCCTGCTAATGCACTGCAGAAGATCTCTTCCACAAACTCATATTTTAAGCCATCGGATCTTCTCAAGGTCTGACAAGTTTATGATGTACACATATGTATGTAAATGCCCCATTTAAAGTAGAAAAACATTTCGGATGATCAACTGAAAACGTCAGTCCTAACTAACAATTAAGAAGAGAATATAACCCTTTTATTATGACAGGATGAATAATTGATATCCACTTGAAAAAGGTAGTGTCAATGATCACCGAAGCGAGGTTCCATGTTGACAAATTGGTTTTCAAAGAATCATGATTGCTGGATTGTAATAAAGGAAGCCTACAAGAACATGATAATGAGTGGGCAAAAAAAAAATAATAAGGTATAATGTAGTAATCCAATTTGACAATCTGACCTACAATCTGACCTAAGTTGACTCATAAAAATCAAATTCATGTTGACATAAGGGAAAAATAATAACATAATAGCTAATATAGCTAAAAGCATAAATGTATTCATATTTATATAATACCAGTATATATATATATCACACCCACTAATAGTTATGACTTCTGTTAAGAAAATATATATATTAGATTTTTTTAATCAAGTTTGAGTCGAATTGACGTGTTGAGTGAATTTTAACACCCTAATGTACGAGAAATTATTGAGAAATTAGTGTGTGCGGACCCCGCATGCATCTCTGCATGCGGTGATCTACGGTCAGGATTATTTCCGTTTCTTAAAAAAAAAAAAAATTTAGGTGGGGCTCATCGAAATACATCGGGGCCGTAGATCAGGTGATTTACGGTCCGGATCGGAATAATTTTTCCTAATCTACATGGAATATGCCAATAGACAATATTATCTTTTGAAAATGTTTGAAAAAATAAATGTATTTGAAACTTTTGAAATTAAATCTTGAATTTCAAAAGTTAGTTAAGTTGCAGGTATTTTGCAGCATATGAATCATCATCATTGTTGTGTTGCTTGAACTCCAATAATTAGCAAGCCTTCATCATGCAATAATGAGCTCAAAACTAGCCATTAAACATATCAAGAATCCAATTGTTGTTTAGCTCAACTCCAACAGTTAAGTCTTTCCACTGCAGTCTCTAATCAAAACTAAGCAAAAAATCATGGCTAAAAATCATAATTTTACTCACAACTGTATGTTAAAATGCCTGGTCTCATCCCCTCTGCTCAAAGACATCGTCGTCTCCACAGACCTGTTCCCATACCTCACAGCGACCTCATATCCCCCCAAGAACCCATCAAAGCTAAACATTCCATGATCATCCGTTTCTCCTCCCGCCTCCTTCGTCTCCCACTCCTCCAGCAGCCGGTCCACCACTTCGCCAGCCGGCAGGTTCCGGAACTCCTCATCCGTGAGGCACATCTGATAGCAAGACTGATTGGGATGAAGCGCACTCCATAGCATGATTCCATTCACCCAAGGATAAGCAAAACCTTCTCTCAGAACTTCTTCCAAATACTTCGCCTGCATAAAATTATCTCAAACGGGGAAGATTTGATAAAAATTTGGTCTTTGGCGATTTTAACCATACCTGCAACTCATGGCCGAACCTCCTGCTCACATCAACCTCCGTCAGCCAAATCGGAAGCCCTAACGTCGCCAGCTTATCAAGCACAGCTCTCATCAAAACAACATTCGGCTCATCGAAATGCCCCTCCAATCCAATCCCTCCCAACACCGCCCCTCCCCCAACAAGCTCCTTCATCCTCTCCACATACGAATCCACCGTCGATTTCTCATCCTCGCACCCCTCCACCACGTTATAATCATTCATGAACAGAGTGGCCAGCGGATCGGCCTCCTGAGCCTCCAGAAAGAAGTCGAGCGAGGCGTTTGGGTTCATCAACCGGCGCTCGTAGAAGTCAAAGTGAAGCAGCTCGTTGCTGACATCCCAGTGAACGAAATCGCCCTTGAATCTGGAGAGGAGGCTTCGGATGCGGGAGGAGACGGCGGAGCGGAGGTCAGGGGAGGAGAGATTGCGGAGCCAGGAGGGGGTGTAATGGGGGTCTTCCCAGAAGATGTTGTGGCCGCGCGCCATGATTTGGTGGGAGTGGATGAATCGGAGCATTTGGTCGGCGAGGGTGTAGTTCAGCTGGTGGCGCTCCGGCTCCGTCGTGTACCATTTCAGCTCGTTTTCAAAGACCGCTGCGTTGAAGCGGTCCACAAACCAGTCCTGCCGAAAGTTTTGATCTTTTTTTTTAATGTTTTATATACGATTCTTTTGCATTTATATTATGAAAAAAAATCGAAAATTTAAAATAATATAAGTAGATTAGATTATAGCAAAAGATCACCTGATACTTTGGGTTCCCGAGTATGGTTTTAGCTATCGCGGAGCCAAAGGGGAACTCCCTTGAGATCTGCTGAACGATAACTGAAGCTCCGGCGACGCGATTTCCTTCCGCGTCTGAAACGTGGATTGCTACCTCACGCTTTCTTTTCTGTATAGATAAGTAGATTCAGCTCTTAATCCTGTAAGTTATATATAAATATATTTAATTTTTTTAGTATTTTTTCATGCATTTTATATCAAATGTTTTCATTATATTGTATTTAACATATTTTCTGTGATTTAAATGTTATTAAAAATATCACATATCGATTTGTGAAGTTCTTCTGATTTTTTCATAAATCCGAAACGGAAGCAAACAGTTCGTCTGCAGAAACAATACTGTTCTTATGCTGCTGTTTTCATAAATCCGAAACGGAAGCAAACAGTTCGTCGAAATTGAATGATTGTTGTGCAGAAACAATACTGTTCTTATGCTGCTATTCTGCTGAAACTCCCACTGTTCGGCTGAGAAAGGCTGCAGCGCTGCGCTTGCCACCGCGATATCTATTGCTTCGCTTCCATCTGCACTCTATATACATTAAAGAAAATAAGATTTATTTTTTCAACTTTTAAGGATTTATAGTTTGATGGATGGTTATTTAATGTTAAGGAATTAATATATAAATAAAAAAAAACCTGGAAGAAAATGAGTGAAGTTTCGGAGGGGGTGTTGAGGACGAAGCCTCCCTTGAGAAAAGACCAGCAGCCGTGTTTGGCAAAGGAGGAGCCAACGCAGTTTAGGGTTTTGTCGCCGGTGATCAGTTTGGCCTTCAGGAGAGCAGAATGGGCTCCTCTGTTGATCTTCAACCAACCTTATGATCAAGAAATGGATGGCTTTTGAAGAATGTTTTATTGAATTATATTTTTTCTCACATTTTAGAAATTTTTATCATGAGGAAGTTTAATGTAGTTGTGTTAATTAAGAAAAAATATCGTATCAAGAGTCCTGATGCAGTTTTGCATCAGGACTCTAATCAATACCTGCCAGGTGTACAAGTCGACCCATCTTACTAAAAAAAAGTTAATTTAATACATAAGAGAGTCTGTCTATATATGTGATAAATTCTGATTGGAGTCCAGATACAAAAATGCATCACGAGTCCTGATATCGTTTATTACACTCGCTATAAAAATTTTTATTTTTTAATTAATATTTGTCCCAGTTCTCTTAAATGGGAATGCTAAGTTTATATACAATAATTACTTAAA